AGACTGATACAAAGTACCTATTCAGTTCCTCCGCCATTTCTTTGTTCCCCATTACCACTTCTTCAGCCTCATTTTACAGCACTCCAATGTTCAGTCTTTTCTCCCCCTTACCTTTTATATACCTGAAAAAGGCTAGATTATTAATTATTCCTTTCCTATTACACAACACTCAGTCTGAAATGGCTGTTCTCATTGGTACCTCAACATATTGATCCAGAAAATTATTTCATATGCACTCCAGAATTTCCTCCTCTATAACACTGTTACTGATTTGATTTGTTCAATCTATACGCAAATTAAAGTCATCCATTATTACTACTGCATGTTTACTGCTTCCATCTGTAATTTCCTGTTTGATGCCTTCCTCAACTGGAGCATTGGTGTTTGACTTTCCAATATTGTAGTGTATCTTGTACCTTGTGTGGTCAAGCGAAGTCACTAAAAGGCGGACGAGCATAGAAACCCAAGGTTGATGGAAAGCGTAGATCAGTTTTCTGGACTAACCAACAGTTATTATATATGACAAGTAATTAGACTATAACCACAGGGAAAAAAACCCCTTATAAACGCCCTTTTTATACACACATACATACACACAAATAGAGAAATAGATTATTGATAGATGGAGACAAACTGGAAAGTCAGTTTGGTGGTCTTTGTTTTCCAATGTTGAAATGATCTTTCTTCAGCTGGCTAGACCCCTTGATGTTCAAATGCCTTTCTCTGGGTGCTTCCACTAATCTGTAAGTAGTAGGGCAAAACTGATTCACTTCAAAAATATCTGAGTTAGCAATTTAAAAGTAACTGGTTTTGTTCAGGTTTAAACTGAATTTTTGACTGCAAAGAACAGGCAGCTTTTGGGCTAAGAGTACATCTGCACACTACTTTTCATGTCTGTCTCTCTCTCTCTACATCTCCGTAATTTTTCAGTTCCCAGTTACTCAGCCACCCGAGGATCAATCGCACAGTTGTTGCCAAGCAAAAGGTCTCTGTCATTGATAACTGGTCACCAGTCCATACACCAATCAATATCTTGTCACTGCCCAGCTGCATCTTAATATAAAACCCTTCAGCTCCTCTTAAACTGCAGCCCAAACTTTAATTACTACTAGTTCAAACAGGCTTTTATGATGCTTCCAATGAGTATCAGGCTGCTTGAAATTCAAAATATGTAGCATCTTTACAAATACTTTTTTTTGTTAAAACAGCTGTTTCTCATTTCAGGATCCACATTTTAAAGACAAAAATAAAAGAAAAACATGGTCTTCACAACCTAATCTAAAGCAAATTAGCATAGTAAAAACAAGTTCAAAGTTAAATTTGTGGGTTAAAGATTGATGAGGGAAATGGGTTTCAATACATGGCATCAATTCTATTGGAGTCATTTTCACCCGAAATGTACTGTTTACAGGAGCAAGGAATACCTAGGGCTCTATAAACTAAGTAGTGAGGGGAAATTTAGAAAATTAAAGTGAAAGGACAAGACGATGACACACTAGGTAACACTCTAGGCAAAGATAACCAGAGCGTGACTGAAAAGGACAGAGAACAAATATACAAGTGTACTAGCCAATAAAGTCAGAGCAGGGAAAAGGATAAAATTACTGGCTCTTTATCTGAGTGCTCACAGCATACATACAAGATAGAAATAAATGGATGTGATATGATAGCCATTAGAGAGACTTGGTTGCAGGCTGATCAAGGTAGGGAATTGAATATTCAAAAGTGTTTGACATTTCAAAAGGATAGGAACAAAGGAAGATGTGGGGTAGCTCTGGTAATAATGGGTGGGTTCAGTACAGGAGTGAGAAATGATCTTGGCTGAAAAGATTAAGGTGTAAAATCATTGGGTAGTGATAAGTAGCATGGAAAGTAACCTGTTGATAGACTTCAGTTTACTGTAGAACAGAGAAAAACAAATCAAGAAGTTCTGGGGTTTTTAATCAATGTATTGGAATAACTATTGGTGATTTTAATTTTCATATAGATTGGGTGAATCAAATTGGCAAAGATAGTCTGAGTTCACAATGTGTAATCAGAACAGTTTCTTAGATCAATATGTTCTGAAACCAACCAGGGAACAGCTATTTCCAAACTGATGATGTGTAATGAAATAGAATTGATCAATGACCTTATAATAAAGGATCCTTTGTCAAGAGTGGTCAGGAGAATTTTACATTTATTTTAATGATGTAAAACTTGGGTGTGAAATTTGTGTCCTAAACTTAGAAGAAGACAAAGTTGACAAGGTGTTGGCTAGACCACCATTAAGTATCATGTATAGTGTCAATCATCTTTTTTAAGGTAGGATATACGTGCATGAGAAACAGTTTAGAATTTTCTTTTTCTCTATTGATTCTTGGCTGGGCTGCTGGTCAAGTGGTCTGCTCTGTCTAGCTACTGTTGAGTTTCTTAAGTGTTTTTTGAGCCACATTCTCCTGGGAAGTCTAGAATATTCTATCGTATTCTATCATACTTGTGTCTTGTAGATGATGGATAGGTTTTTGGGAGACAAAGTGAGTTATTCTCCATTGAATTCCCAGTATCTGATCACCACTTGTAACCAAAATATTTATATGACTGTTCCAGTTCAGCTTCCGGTCAATGGCAAACTCAAGTTGTTTTGGTGTGTGTGAGGATTGTGGGTGGGGGTTCAGCAATAAAGCTGCTGAACATCATGGGGAGTTGCTTAGATGCTCGCTGCTGTAGGTGATCACTGCATGGCATTTGTGAGGCATAAATATTACTTGCCATTTATTATGTTTTTGCAGGATAAAAGATGCATGTCTGACCAGGAACTAGGGGCCACAACTTGAGATTAAAGGTTCTCTCATATAAATCAAAGATAACGAGAAATATCTTGTTTCAAAGGATTGTTAATTTTTAAATTCTCTATGGCAGAGAGCAGTGGAGGCTGGATCATTCAAGACTGAAATCGTCAGATTTATTGTATCTATAGGGGAAACAGAGTTATGGAGGCAGACAAAAGAGTTAAGGCCACCATCAGATTTAATGTGATCTTATTGAATAGTAAAGCAGACTTGAGGGGCTGAATACCATTGATGATTTCAGTCAACACCATATTGAGGTTGAGTCTGGTGAGTGCAAGAGGAGATGAGCTTGGTTTCATAAAACAGGTGAACTTGGAGAGTTGTATAGGAAATGAAAGGTAAGGCACAGTGATGAGGGATAAAAACAGAAAATGCTGGAGAAACTCAGCAGGTCTGGCAGCATCTGTGCAGACAGAAACAGAATTAATATTTAAAGTTCAATATGAGTCTTCCTCACAGTGTTGAGGGATTGCAGTAGCATTTATAAATGGGTAATGCTGGCTAGTGGGATTGGGGTGAAAGGTGACCATTTGAAGCAGCAGCACAAATATCAAATTGTGAGGTGAGGAAATCTATTAATTTTGCCCCTGATGTTGGGATCAATGGAGAAGGATTTTGATAAAGCATTTATCTGAAAGGGAGATGCTGTTTGTCTTTTATCCACATGATTATCTTGGATAAACAGAAGGTGTTTATCTGTGGTGAGGAGAGTATTGTAATGCTTAGGTGTGGACCAACCAAAACTGGAGGTGAATAACTCGACTGATCACTTCCCAGATCCATGGAAATCTCTGCTCCTGAGAGTTATTACTGTGAGATAGGGGCTGTAATGAGAACAAAATGAGTTGGAAACTAATATTGGGCAGGTTGAAGGCAAAGGTAGAAGAGAGCAGGAATCGATGGAATCAAATAAATTAGCCATACTTGAGAGGTTAGGAGGAGCATGAATACTTGTCCCACCTTGCTCAGAGCCCCAATACACACTCTGGCTCCTTTTATTATACCACTTTTGGCTTAAATCAATGGAGTAAGAGTAGGAGCTGCTACCCACCCGAATGTGAGCTGGCAGGATTTAGGTGACCTCCTGCCATTGGTCTTAGTGCCTCATCTCTCCCTCCCGAACGCAAGGTCTGATTTGAACCTCTGGAAAACATAACAACAAAAGAAAATTCTTGGCATATGGCACCTTTAATGGCTTGAGACTCACAAATACACTCACTTCAATACTCCAGCTGAGTGGAGCAATGCTACTCTCCAGCTCATCCACCTCTACTTCCAGTCTGTGGAACAGGAATTGTACCCGCTTAGTCTGCAGATTCTGTAACCTCCAGATTCGAATGGTTTAATACTTTCCAGTCATATCTTGCTCTTCAAAAACCTGATCTCATACAAACCTCTACTGACTGTATCCTAACTTACACCAAGTCCAATTGATTCAACGCCTTGCTGAAAATCACCATGGATTCCAGTCCAACAAAAGTCCTGAATTCTTAGCCTCGACTTTAAACCGGTTTTTAGCTTTACTCCTTCCTAACGCTCAGTGTGCTGCCCCATTAGCCTCGGTGAACCCTGACTTGGGTGCAGATTCCCACTCTCTTTGCCCCTCCTTGCGCAGCCATGCCTCCAATGATCGGAGCTGCCCAAACTCAGGAACTGGCCACATAAAACCAGAGCGCCTCTTTCGCCTTTAATTCTTTTTTCTGTTTTTGGGAAAAAAACCCGTAAAACTCGGAGAATGCTGGAGAAACTCAGCAGGTCCAGCAGCATCTGCGGAGAGAGAAACGGAGTTAACGTTTCGAGTCCGGTTTGTGGCTCTTATGTTTCAGATTCCCAGCATTATGCGTTTTACATTCGGTTCAAAAAAACAAAACAACCTAAATCTTTCACGAAGCAATTTTGGTCAGGAGTTGGAGGAGCTGCCTAACCTCTTCCTCTTCGTCTGATCACGAAGCTCCTGACACGGGTCCAAGTTCTGAAGGAGATCCGCACTTTGCAGAGAAATTCTATTCCATAAAAGGCAAATTGAAGAAACTCTCGGGAGCGGCTTTTGGGATGTGGGTGGCGAGAGAGGGGGCACGGTTCCTTCCGCATTTTCCTCAGGACCCGGCAAAATTAACAGCTGCTGAGAGGGCGCTTGTACCCTTTGCACCGTCCACCCGGACGTGCGCGGCCGCGACTGCAGTGCGCGCTGGCGTCAGGCGATGGAGGAGGAGGCGGTGGTGGTTTGTGCTCGGGCTCAGAGCCGCGGCCGCTTGAGCGGCTTTGACTATATTTGGTCAAAGCGGCGAGGTAGCGAGGGAGGGAGCGAACGCCTGTTTCCGGGTTGCTGTGCCTCATTGCCTCCGCCCTGTCTGTGAATCCTGCAGGCACGCAGAGAGAGAGAGAGAGAGAGGGGCAGGAGCCGTGTCCTGAACAGGTTGATATATATTTTGGGTTGCGTGATCGAGTGCTGCTGTGTATTGCCGGTGCCAGGACTGTGTGCGTGCAGCTCAGCCAGCGGAAGATGCCTTACGAACTGAGTAAGTGTTTTTGCAGGGCGGGCACGGACCGGCCCCGGCTTCCCTCTTCCTCTCTCTGTCTCCCTTCCCTCCCACTCTCTCTCTCTAGTGGTGGTTCTGAGTAGCAGAGCCTTCAGGTGGCAGAAAGCGGGGCAAGGAGGCTGACCCCGGCCCGTGTCCCAGGGTTGGGCCTGCGGCTCCCAGGGGAGAGAGAAGTAAACGTGAAGATGGAGCCTCGCTCCCTCTCTCCCTCTTCCTCTTCACTCCACCCCACCCCCATTCTCTGCCCTTCCCTTTTTTTTTCCTAATTTTCCTACCTTCTTGCAAATTTCAAACTTGATGGTATGTTTCAGTCGCCTGCAGGGTTTCTGCTATTTGTAGAGTAACTGAACGGAAAGGGCGTATATTTTGGATTGGTCAGCAAATTGAATAAACTGGGATTAGGGAGTTAACAAGTGTCTGTCTCTCTTCCAGTTATACTATGTATTGAATCTGTTTGGCAGTCTGAAATATATTTGAAGGACATATCTCCCGAGAATAGTTGCATATTTTAGTGATATATTCAACAGATAATTTGACATCGGTTCCCGTCTCCATCCTTATGCGGATTAAAGTTCATGCAATAGAGCCTCCTAGTGTTTTTTTTGCACACTTGCTCAAAAGTAGGATTTTTTTTTCCCCCAGTAGAAGTGTATTCGTTTCAACAATCGAATTCAGGAATTATTCATTTTGAATAAAACTACCCCAAAAATGTTTCGAACTGTTGAATCATGTTTCCTTTTGCCCATGGTGGTGTTACTTTGTTCTCGTTTCTTCTGTTACTTTTATATTTGTGTTTCTTGGTCAACTACAAATTAACACCTCTAAGAGTATAGATAACTTGTCTTGTCACATGTGCTAACATGCCCTGTTTGCAATTTTTGGGAGGAATGGGAACATTAAAGACGAGGCTTGCATTAAGTGCCTGTCTAGTTATTGCAGATTGCTTTTCATTTTGAGAGAACTATGTAATGCAGCCTATTATTTTGACATGCATGCCATCAGTGATAACTTTACTTGGGTAATTATTGGTACATTAATTGTCAGGTTATATAAAAGTTTAATCACATCACCAAAGGAAAAAGTCAGCCACTTTATCCCTTTAGCCTATTCCATAATTGAGTGAAGTAGTGGTTTTTCTTTTCTCATTCTCGAACTTGTAACCTGACATTTCCAACACCACCATCACACAAGGTCTACAGATTCAAGAAGGCAGCTCACCAATCCTAACTGGAGAAGGGGACGCACTTACTGTCTTAATTGACCTCTTGTGATTTTAAAAAAAAATTAATTTTTTAAAAAATTGTTAATTTAGTAAACAGCATTGTAATGTCTAAGCTATCTATTGTGGATGGTAGATAACAAGGTGTAGAGCTGGATGAACACAGCAGGCCAAGCAGCATCAGAGGAGTAGGAAGGCTGATGTTTTGGGCCTCGACCCTTTT